CTTGCTTGAATCAAGAAATGTTCACTATTATTCAGGAGGAATGAGAAGATACAGGATGATAGCACGTGAAGAGCCTCCGCACAGGAAGTTCAGGTAGATGCACTCTGTGCCCCCAGGGCAGGGACTTGACTGGTGTGTCCTGTGATCCCACCTCAAAGAAAGGCCCATGTTGTATGAAGCAAAATAAATCCTTCTCTCCTTTGAGTTATTTGTGTCAGGTATTTTATCTCAGTGACATAGACTGACTCAAACAGAAAACTGGTACCGTAGAAGTGGGCTCATTGCTGTGAAAAACTGACAAAGTGGCCCAGACGTCTTTAGAACTGCTTTGTGGGAGGAATTTGGAAGAGTTTGCAGATGCAGGCTTGAAGAGCCCTACAATGCTGTGAGCAGAGCTAAATGGGATTCTGACAGAGACTCAGAAGACAAGCATGCTTGTAGGAACGCTGACAGTGAAGTCTATGCTCGTGAGGATTCAGATGGAATGAGGGCTGTACTGGGAACTGGACTAGAGGCCATGTGTATCACATTGTGGCAAAGAACTTGAATACATTTCTGCATGTCCAAACAACTGATGTGGTCGAAGAAATTTGAAGGCATTCCAGTGTTCAGCCAGGCATGGTTCTTGCTGATTTTAGCCAGGTTTACAGTGAGACTCTGTAACAGGTGCTTAAAAGCTGTTTTTTGCTGGGTAACACTGATTATTCCTTACATGAGCCTACATGTTAGCTAAAGATGACTGTGATGATCCTTTCCATAGAAAGGAGGAACAAATTGACAGTGGGGAAATGTAACGGGGACTACAAAAACGACAATCTTTTGGCTGTGACCAGCCTGTGTGTGGTCAGTTTGCTGCAGTTTCTTATTTAGAGATTCAAATGAACATTTTTTTTACACTTCCTTTTTCTCCAAGTGGGAGGGAGACCACAGTTAACACTAGTCTTCAACTAAACCAGGCAATTTTCTCCACTGAGAAGGAATAAACATCCATCAACCAAGACATATGACTTTGGGGATGTGGTGCTATAAACTGAGAAGTAAGAACCAAGGACATCACCTGTTCTGGGACATGCATTTTGTCATGTACCCTGAAACCGAGTTCCTGAGCTCCCCCTTAAATACCAGACATTTTCTCTCACAAGTAGGACTGTAACTTTAAGCAGTAACCCATGCAGTCCTCATTTTGCCTAGGAAAATTAATAAACCTTACTTCCTTTTCCTCAAAACCCTGCTCTGGTTATTTGTGAATTAGTATTGAGTTCAGGGAACCAAATTTCCAATAACAAACTGGGAGCAGCAAACAAAACAGAAAGACTTGAAAAACATGCAGTTTGGTCAGAAAAGCCCCTGCAAAGTTGGAGCTAAGAAAGGCATGGTTTGTAAAGAGATTAGGGAGATTAAAAAGAAGCCAAGTACATTGCTTTAGAACAATAGAAAGATGTCTTGAGGGCATCTCAAGAACTTTCCAGACCCCACCCAGGGCAGGCTCAAGGATATGAAAAATTGAAACTCATTCGAAAGACTTTCCCTTGAGAGTAGAGCAGCCAAGGGGTTCCCTGTGCACACAGAGCTGCCTAGGAAGTTTGTTCCCCAGGATTCTCTAGAGGCCACTGCAGCCATTGTCTAACAGGGCCCAACTACTGTTCAAGCAAGCAACAGACTTCAGCAGCCATTGTCCACATGATGTTGGCTTTTTGGGCATGTGGAATGCAAGCATTATGAGGTCATGGAGGCTTCCACCCAGACTTCAACCGGAAGCTTGGGAAGTCAGCCAATGTGAGGCAGAGTCAGGACCCTGGCAGGCAGCCCCTGAAATAGCAATTTGTGAATCTGTGAGGGTGAAGCCTATGCTGCAATGGAGACCCCAGGATTTTGAATATGACTATGAATATGAAATGCCTGACCAAAAAAAAAAGCTGCAGGCAACAAGTGGGGCCATCCCAAGAGAAAGACCATGTGTGGTGCAACTGGCAAGGTTATATCATGACACTATGTGCTCTGGATGGCAGACAAGGATCTACAGATTGAATGTTTTCCTTGCTGAGTTTCAGTCTTGCCAATCCTTCTTTGATAGTCTCCCATTTGGATGGGAATGTTTACTCTGTGCCCTTGTATCACGGGAGTGTGTACTTTCTTTTTATTTTTATAGGCGCTCACAGCTAAGAGTTTGCCTTGAATTCCAGAGGATACTTTGAACTTGGACTTCTGAACAATGTTAGAACTCTTAAGAACATGGAGACTCTGAAAACAGAATACTTCATTTTGCATTATGAGATGAGCGTGAGTCTTTGGGAATCAGAGGCGGAATGTTATGGCTTGAGTATGAAATGTCTCCCACAGGTGTATGTGTTGAATATGTGGTCCCTGGCTATTGATGCTGTTTTGGGAGGTTCTGAAAACTTTACGAGGTGGAGCCTAGCTGGAGGAAGCAGGTCACTGGGAGCATACCCTTAAAGGTTATATACGGTCCACAGTCCCTTTCTCATTCTCTCTGCTCCTCTCTGCCATGAGGTGAACAACCGCCTACAAACTCCTCCTGTCATGATGTTCTGCCCAAGTAATTGTGTGGGGTCATGGACTGAACTCTCTGAAACTATGAGAGAGTTACTGAATTTCCACCCTTCCGATGTTTATGTCAGGAATTTTGTCACTGTAATAAGAAAAATAACTAATTTTGTTCTGTGTGTCCTGAAAGTTGAGTTACCTTTAACCTTCTATGGTGTAGGCTATATTTTCCCCAATTTGTCAAAGATATTAATCTCTGGGGCTTCTTTCATCTGAAACCCGCTGTCTCCTCTCTTCACTTCCTTTGGGTGATACCTCCCTTCTTTCCGACAGTTTGCACAGAATCTTCTCTCTTTGGTTATTCTGCAGCACGTTGTATTAGTCTAGGAGTGCATTTTCTGACTTTGATCACTACTTGCCTTCTACCTTAGATCTGAGATCTCATGTCTTTTCAATTTTCGAAATTCCTCTTACATATGAATTGGAGTCTCCCTGACCTATCTTATAAATTCTCTTGGGAGTGTGTGGATTTCTTGTTTTGTTTTGTTCTTTTTGTATCTACTGCACTTTGGTTAGTTATCTCAATACCATTTTAGTACTAGACATGGGATGGAAACTTGAACTGTATTCTTAACAAGTAAGTTTCTTCAAATTTTTCTGTTTTCATTGATTTCTTCAGGTCTGTCATCCTGTATTAGAAATTTCTTTTCTACTTTGTCAAGTTTATAATTTATCCCATCTATTGAGGTTTTTATTAATTATATTTATTCATTTTCACAATTTAAAAATATTCCTATTTCATAGTTCCCTGTTTTTAGATGTTCTAGCCATTTTTTTATATATTTTCTTATCATACTACTACAGTTTAACATGTTTGAGTCTTCTAATTATCTGGGATAAATCTTTACACTACTTACTCGTTTTGATCTGTCTTTCCCCACACCATATTTCCTTGCTATTTAGGAACATTACCCCACTGGTTCAATTTGTGGGGACATTGTGTCTATGTCATTGCCTTTCTCTGTCACTTTGTTGGCTTAATCTCAGTCTTTCTTTGCCTCTGCCCAAGTCCCAGAGCTCTGTTCTGCTGAGGCACTTCCAATTTAGGATCTTTAAAGATATAGAGAACTTGGTCAACTATCAGGAGAGAAACAATGGGATAAAGGTTTTATTAGTTACAGGTCCTGGAGGTTCAGTGCACACCTAAAGACACAAGAGAACACACATACACACACACAAATCTGAAGCAGGTGTCATGGAGTGTGGACCTTTATTCATGGGCAAGGTCAGAAACACAAGAATCAAGGGGCAGAAAATGATTGAACAATTTAGAGCAAGCAGTTGTGAGATTTGAAACACACCGATGTGAAATCCTTCCTAGATGGGTTTGGGGTCAGATCTCTCTGGGTTCACCAGAGGAATAGAATTAGAGCTTACCATCTCAGCCAGATGTCCAAACATGGATGCACACGAGGCAGCAAATTGCCACACATTTTGACACAGACATGGAGGGTGTCACAGATGATGCCCTGTCAGAGACCTGCTTGGACCAGCACCTCTCTGAGGCTGCATCTGTGTCCTCTTGCCTTCCTAGGCCCGCATCTCCCCATTGAGTTGTGACAAGCTGTGGCCCCTGGGCTGCCTAAGGAAGGGCTTCTCGGCAACTTTCTGGAGTCAGGGAACTCACACCTCAGTCCCCCAGAAGATGGACCCCTGACCTTCTGCTGATCTTAGGGCTAACTGCCAGTGGGCTGTGGCCTCAGCCCCTTCACCAATCCATGTTTCTTCTTTCCCACTGCTGATTTTATGTACATGTGTGTGTGTGTGCATATGTGTGTACACATGCATCTGTCTTGGTTCTCTGGGTCTGACCCATTGCTGATCTGAGTATACAGCAGGGGGCCTTGTGCACACCCTGCTTGGCAGGGTGCTCATCCTTTCTAAATGCACACATGTTCATATTCACACAGCATGGTCCCTCTTTCTTCAGGATGAATCTGAGGTTAAATGACCTGTCCAGGGACACAGGACAGTCACCAAGATGGCCACAGATCCCAGGGTGCTCTGACTTCTACCAGCATCCTCTGTGAAGCATGCATGTCGGCCAACCGTGTGACAATGCAGGTGGGCTGAGGGATCACTGCCATTGCACACTCCCTGGCGGCTCCCCACACGGGAGGTCGCACACCTCCACTCACACTCACTTCCCTGCCAGGCACAGTCTGCAGGCCTGCTGCTCTGGACAGCTGCCCTGTCCTGCATCCTCTGGGAATGGGCGCTGTTATTCAGCAACTTCCAACGATGATGACATTTCATCTGCTCCACTGCGGAACTGGCCATGGTTTATGGCCAGGAAGGGACAGGTTGGTCCTCTGTGCCAAGTTCCCCAGGGACGCGGGGCCAAGCAGTATAAATGGCAGGTGTGTGAGAACCCAGCACAGCCTCTCCCAGCCTCACAAGTGACCTGTTGGGTGGCCATGCGTGCAGACCCCAAGATGAAAACCCTGCTCCTGGTCTTTGGTCTGGGCCTCATTGCTGCCGTGCAGGCACAGACTCTCCCAGTCATGGAGGAGGATCAGGATGTGAGGATCAGATGGGCCGGAGGGCTGCAGGGCAGGGAGGGCTGAGACTGCTGGTCTCATTCCTCCCCTCTCTCAAGGAGACCCTTAGTTTTGGACAGCCTTTGAGCCCCTGCCATGAGACAATGTCAGACAGAGTATGGGGGGTGGGGGGGTGTCTGCACCAGAAAGACTGGGGTGCAGGGGGCTGGGGTGGGTAGTAGGAGCCCAGCACACCTCACTTTTTCTTGGGAGTGAGGGTGCCTGTAGTCCTGGCTCACCTACAGGAACTCAGAGCCTGCACTCAGGTCAGCCTGGTGACAGCAGTGGGTGACTTTGTGGGGGGGGAGGGGACAGGGAATATTCTAGTTCTACAGACCTTGGAGGCCAAAGTACACTCTGGGGCTACAGACTAGGAAGGGGGCATCCCTGGAAGGTCGCCCGAACCCTGATGGACAGGTGCCTTCTATAGGTCTCAGGCACATGGTATTTGAAGGCTGTGGCATCAGATAAGGGGATTCCTGGGAATCCTGGGTCTGTGTCTGTGACCCCAATGACTGTCAAGATCCTGGAGGAGGGAAGTGTGGAAATCAAGTTCACTGCCCGGTGAGTGTCTGCCAGCCATGAGGCCAGGGGGCTGCTTGGCCTTTCCTCACCTGCTCAGGAGAGCTGGGGGATAGGTGGGGCAGGCAGACTGTGCTGCTCATCCTGCACAGCCTCTGGGACACTCGGCACCTACAGCATCAGGGGCAGCAGTGACACTGTGTATGCCTTGGACTAGAGGGGTGCGTGGGAGGGGAGGTGTGCCTCACAGCAGATCTTGTGGGAAGGGTGGTGGCCATTTTCTCTCCCAATAGGGGAATATCTATCAGCTACCCAGGCCCTTTGGGGATAGGCGTGTGACTCTCAGACCCAATCAGAGCTGACAGGCAGGGCTCACAGATGCTGGACTTTATGATCCTCCTAGTAAATTTCTGCTTTGGAATCCCACAGAGAAATTTGCAGAATGACCCTCAGGGGGCACAAAACGATCAGGGAAGGTGTCAGACACTATGTAGACCTTTCACCTCCCTGCGTGACTTTCACCTCCCTGTGTGACTTTCACCTCTCTGTGTGATTTTCACCTGTGTGATTTCCCCTGTGTGTAGCTCTTACTTGTGTGGTTCCCACATTTGTGACTTCCCACTTGTGGCTCTCCTCTGAATAAATTCCCACCTGTGTAGCTCACGCCTATGTATGTTCCCCTCTGAATGGCTCATACCTTTATGGGTTCCATCTTTGCATCTCATCTCACATGGCTGTGGGTGACTTCCACCTGAGTGGCATGACACAATCTGTCCTTTGGTCCTGGGATCCAACACTTAAACAATGATCCTGGAGTCTGTGGGATTCTTCTCCCAAAATTCCCTAACTGAAGCTTTCCTTCACTGAGACAGGTGACAATGGGTGCGGTGCTGGTCCCTGAATGTCTCCAGATATAGCAGTCGAAAACCTGGAGAAAACCTGGCAGGGTGAAGGTTAGAGGGGAGGCTCATGTCTCTGAAGTCCAGGTGGCCCAGGTGGCCCTCTAGAAGGCTGTGGAGGTGGGTCAGGATGGCAGTCAGTTGGAGATGTGGCAAAGAGCTCTGGCCAATGAGGAGCCTAGGTGCCTGCCATATAATACATGGAGGGTCAACAAGAGATGTGATGAAGCCCACGCCTCCTTGGTCCTGTCCCCTCTGGACCACCTGTAGGGTCTGCACTGTGGTTGCCCCCAGCAGGGGAGGCCATGGCAGGCAGCGTTGCTCACAGAGCTGCTTCTTCCAGGATTGCAGGTCAGTGCCAGGAGATAACCATCGTCCTAGAGAAAACTGACGAGCCTGGCAAATACACAGCCTGTGAGTCATGGAGCCTGTGAGGGCTGCACCCCTATCACCTTCAGAACATTGGGGGTTAGCAGGGCCTTTTCAGAGTGATTTTGGTCTGAGAACCTTTGTCTTCTTTCTGTACCTATTATGTCCCCACCCTCCCCTCCCACCCATCAATTTGCCTTAAAGATCTGAACACCTGACACTAAACAAGGCACTAAGTGTGGTGGATTTGTCCCCGGGGGGGACTGGGCTATCCAGGCTTTTCCAGTTGGCTGTGGCTGAGCCCTGGGCAGGGGTGAGGATGGAGATACAGCACAGTTTGCAGCAGGGTGTATCTGACTTTAAAAGGCTATGCTGCCCCAGCTACATTCTCTGTCAATCTCACTCCCCAAACCTGCCTGTGACTCACTGGCTTGGGATGAAACCATCTCTCAGGAGTCCTGGCAAGATATGAACTCTGAAGGGTGTCCAGGTACCAGGCCATCTTGGAACCTTGCTGAAGGATCAGGTGGCTTTTTCAGGACTTGTGTCACTTTGTCTCTGCAGTTGGGGGCAAGCAAGAGGTGTACATCATTAAGTCAGATGTGGAGGACCATTACATCCTTTATGTGGGCAAGCTGGCTGGTCATCGGATCCGATTGGCAAAACTTGTGGGTAAGTCATGTTGTCTAGAGGTCTCTAGATGTCACACTGTCATAGGATGGTCCAAGGACTCAATGGGGACAAACCTTGTGGTGACATACCCAAGCACCATTCCTGTGGGGTATACAGCAGTTGGGTGGGACAAGAATGGGAACAGAAGCTGTCCTGCAAAGTCCAACTCTGAGCAGACATTGGTGTCAGTGCCCTTCCTGCCTGAAGGTAAAACCCAGGGCCTCCTGTGCTCTCCTTGGGGCCAGGTTGGTACACAGAGCAGTGGGATGGCATGGTGCCCTGAGCACCAGGGAGATTTTCTCCAGGATAGCATTGGTCCTGCAACACCCCTTCTGACAGGGAGAAGCACAGGTGTGCTGAAGAGTGGATGTCCACTATGTCTCCCAGGTCAGCTGTCAAGGGCACCTGATATGACACATATGCCCCTCATACCCCCCACCCTGTCTTCCTTTCCTAGCTAGACTCTTCTAGCCCCAGGCCTCCAGGTCAAGCCCCTCATGGCAGAGGCAAAGTCTCCCTCCCCATCCCAGCAGCTGGTCAGTCCTCCAGGCTAGGATAGATAAACCAGAGTTCCCCAGCCTGTTTACCCACACTCCTGCCTCCCCTGGCTTCACCTACAGGCAGAGACCCTGAAATCAACCAGGAAGCCCTGAAGGATTTCGAGAAGGTCGTAGGAACCAGAGGCTTCAACTCCAAGAACATCTTCGTTCCCAAGCAAACGGGTAGGAAGTTCCTGCCTGCTGAGTTCCCCAATGTCCCACAAAGGGAAAGTCACCAAGTCATTTCACAGGCACAGGCTACATCTCATCCTGGTTTTGTCCCTTCTGGGGTCATGGGGGATGGCTGGTGATGGAGGGGCCCTGGGCTCTGACTGAATTCCTGTGGTCTTCTGAATCATGTTTTTCTTTCTTTGACAGAAACCTGCTCTCCAGGAAGTGATTAGGGTAAGAGATCAGTTCCAGGGGACACTTAACATCCCAGTACTGGGTGTCCATAGGACTTCAAAAGGCCCTGTGGTCTATCCCCCACCCCTGCTCCTACCTGGGCAGGAGAGCCCCACCTGTAATGCAGGTGTGATCCCTGCTTCTGCAGGAATCCCTGCCCAGGGGCGTTAGCTCAGATTTCCTTCTCAGATGTCATTCCTGGGCAGTGAGGAACCTGCTGTCCTGTCCTCTCCTGAGGTTAGAACTGGAGGACACAATGTCCCTCTCCCTGTATCCTCCAGTATGCTTTCCTCTGGTGGGAAATTCCTCCCCAGCACCTCCCACACCCCTCAGTCGTCACTATGACTCTGTTTACCCCATGAGCTGCTTTAAAGAAATGTGGCAGCCATCGCTGTGGGCTTCAGAATTCCTGGATCCCTTATTGCTGTGTGATGTTTGGAAGCTGGAGGTTCAGAGACTTGTCCAATGTCACCTGCCCAGGTGTGGACAGAGCCAGACTCCAAACAGCATCCCTGTCCTTCCCTTGTCATTCATTGTCCTAAAGTCACCTGTCCTCCTCCCCCTCACACATAGGCATGGAGCTTTGTAGGCAGCCTTAGGGAAGAACCCCCTTCTCTTTGTCCTGATGTGGCGGGCAGAGTCCCCAGGAACCCAGCATCGCCTCTCTGCAGGCCCTCTCCCACCTCCCCTTGTGACCTCATGGACACTCCCTCCTTTCCAGGTCACAGGATACGCATTACTGACGCAGTCCCAGGGCAGCACCGTCCTAAACCTCTGTCCTGAGGTTCAGGACCCTCCTGGGGTCCAGCTGGCTCCACCCACCTGCCTCCCTCTGCCCTCACCCTGGGCCCCGGTTCTCAATAAAGAGCTTCAGCAGTCCCTGGTGACTCTGCCTATCTGTGGTGTCCCTTGTTGGCTGCCTTGGGGGGGTCTTCTCAGAGGGGGTGCCCCCTGGGATCTTTTCAGACAAGATCTGCACTGGGTTTGGGGTTCTTTATGTGAGAGGGGCTCTGGATGGGGGGTTCTAATGAGTTGACCTTGAAAGAGAGTTGTCTTTGGGTGTCTGCCGGGTCCTGGGATGGGCTCCCATATTTGAGGGAACTGGACACAGGGCTCACCTGTGGAAGTGGTCATGGACAAGAGAGGGCAGGAATCAGAGCTGTTCTTCACAAAATCCTTCCAACTGCAACCCCCATAGAACAAAACCCCAAGTGACCCCTAAGATCACAGACCCCTATCAGAGAAGCAGCTCCTAAAGGGACTCCCATGGATGTCACAGTCCACCGTCCAGTGCATAGGTGAAGGACTCCAGTCTCCTTTGTGGACACTGAGAAGAGGCACAATTTGGTTGGAGTACATCCACTTCCCTGATGACAGCTAGGTAAAGGGAGACTGACCCTTACTGCCTGCTCCCTCACTGTCCCTCCCAGACTCCTCTCAGCCCGAGATCCTGAAGTCTTCCTTCCTCTCTGCTGCTGGGCTTAGGTAGGCAGCGCTGTCCTTGTCCACATCCTCCCTCTCCTCGTGTGTTTTTGGAGAATGCTCTGTAGCACTCTACCACTGAGTTCTGCCCCTCAATTAAAAGAAAGTAAAGTCATCTACACTGAGCTTTTTATGAAAAAGCTTTTTTATTCCACATCGAATTGTTGAGTAGTCAGTAGAATGCTGCCGCTTCCTGTCTTTGACCATTTCTATCACTCTCAAATTTTCTAAATCTACCTAAATTTCCCAGCCTCACAGCACCCATGGCTCTGAGCAGCCGTTACAGGACCCAGACAGAGAGCCAACACTACCTGTCCTTAACTTCACCTAACAAGTTTAAAATTCCTTCTCTACCCACAATGAATCACAAATATGTAAATCTGACATCACACACAAAGGTCTTCTGTTGATCTGGAAGCAAGGACAGGCTTCCTCCCTAGTTGTTTACCACAGAGTCTGTTCACTGTGAGGGGGGAAAAGGAAAGAGCCATGGTTTCTTATTGGAACTATTTCTTGAAGTGTTTTTTCCCCAGATCCTGAATTTCTTCTAAATTTATAGTGACCAAACTACAGGCTTGGGACATTATTTCTGAGACTGATTCTGTGATGAGAACGTTCAGATCCAACTGGGGAAAGTTACCTGAGTCCCAGCCTATCAGCTTAGCATTGCACCTGTTACCTAGAAGAATAAATTGAACATCCAAGTATCCATTGCAGGTTAAAGGAAAAGCATTATTTATTTTTTAAATGAAACTGTAAAAAGCAAAAAAAAAAAAAACCAAAACAGAGGATGTCACACAAGACATCTTTGCTACTTTTTCTTTGGAGAAAGGATTTGTATGGAGTTTTCTTTTTTTGCTCCACTCCTCTATGTCCAAAGTTGAAGGTGGGTTATAACACAGGGTCCTTCGTTTCCTAACTGAAAAACACTGATGCCTCTTTTCTTACAGACTTAGCCACTTCACAGTCTTACGTGCTGTAGAAAGCTCCACCGAATAGGGTGAAGGTGTTGGAATACAGCAGTCTGTTGTCTTAGGGCTGGGCTCAACTGTCATTTTTCTTTTACCATTCTTTCAACAAAAAGCCACCATGCATCCACAGGGCTAGCAGCTGCCGAGTCTAGACCTTCCTTAGAAGAAGAAAAAACATCTTAAAATACCAAAAGCCCAAAGCCGTCTGAAATAGCCAAGAAACCAGCTTTCTTCTCCAAGAGAAAAAATCTCTCCCTTCACCGAAAATTTGAATTTACACATATAAATATTTGATCTGTACAGAAACTGTGATCGTTCTTCTATCTATGAAATCAGCTTTGATATCTTATCTTTATGCTTCTTTATTACATCAAAGGCTTAACTTCAAAAATGGACCTTTGTTCTTGTCAGTAAATCTGTCACAGAATGAGCCAGGATTTAGATATCTGTAACTTTTTAATGTCTCTTTTCAAATTATACTGAATATTTGGAGTGTACTGATGTATTCTCAACTGTGCTTATCAGAATGGTGGCTGAAACTGGAAGACATTTTATAAAATCCCAAAGTCAGTCACCTATACTTGCTATTTATTTAGTCTTCTTGTTTGGAACAAAAGGGAAGAATTTAAACAATACCACGATCTAAGCTCCTGTTTCAAATGAAATATCGTCATCAGCTTGCAAAATGGGTTCTTAAAATTGTGCTCACCTACCCAAACTCTCTGGCCGGACCCAGAGACAGGGTCCTGGAGTACAGGGAAAGCAAGACTTTCATGGCAACCTTGCTGTTACAACAAGCATTCTATTGTCTAGTGAACAAGTCCCCCCCCCCCATTCCTCGTTGGTTGAGTACTATGGGGTGTACATTCTTTTCACGAACGTTGCCTAATTCCTATTGGGTTCTTTAAAATATGAGTCGGGATTGGTCAAATTTTAGAGATGGGCTTCAGATGGTTATCTGCCTGGGGTTTTTCTTTGGTATCATCTATAAACTTTAATGCATGTGTAAATCCGGGTGTCTGGACACAGCACTAGCCTATCGTCCAAATCCTTCCCCGGGGTCCTGTGATGTCCTTTTGTTTTGGTTTTGGTTTTTTTGGTGTTGCTGTGATTTGAACTCAGGGCTTCACTCTTGCTAGCCAGGTTGTCAGCACTTGATCCAGGCCTCCAGCCCTTTTTTGTTTTAGTTCTTTTGTTTTTGTTTTTCAGGTAAGGTCTTGTGGTTTTGTCTGGTCCCAGCTTCAGACTGTGATCCTCCTGCATGGTGACAGGATTTGCATGCCACCTTGAGATGGAGTTTCACTAACTCTGCTGGGGCTGACTTTGAACTGTGATCCTTCTGATCTCCACCTCCCAAATTGCTGGGATTACAGGCATAATCCACTGTGCCCAGCCCCCCATGATGTCCTTTATGGTCATGCCCTCCCCACCACCTAATCTACTGAGGTGTGTGTCCCCCTAGCTTTGTCTCTTGAGGATGTCACATGAGTAGAGTCACACGGTACTGAACCTTCTGGGACTAGCTTCATCTGCAAAGTGGAACACCTGTGAGGTTCTTCCTGTTGTTGTGAGCCAACACTGCCTTTCAGGTGTTGCAGAGCTGTCTCCTATAGACAGCACAACCTGTTCCATAGCCAATGGGGCCAGCGGAGGGACAGCTGTTGGTGGGCAGTGAAGGGATGCCTGGGATCTCTGTGTCTTCCACAGATGTTCCCAGCCCCATGAGAGATGTCCCTTCTCACTGTACATTTGAGGACTAGGAAATGATTGCCAGGTGGGTTCCTGGGCCCTGTGGACCCTGGGGCTGGACCTGAGCCACCACTCTATTTTCGCCTGGCCCCCAACAGGGAGCATGATAGAGGGTTGAGATTCAGTGTCAGTGTGATCATACACCTTCTAGCCAATAGCCTTCCACTCCTGGGTCCTTCCCTGTCCCCAGTTCACGGTGACTCCAGGTGAGTGTCCACAGTCTCCTGTGGGGAGCTGCGATCACCTGATGGTCACGGCCTGGCACTGGAGTCTCCTTCTTTTCTGTGATGGTTTCTGGGGTGAAAACTGGCTCGGGTGGGGAAACTTGGCAGGAAGCACAACTGACTTTGGGGAGGCTGACGTTGGCTTTGGCTCAGTGTCATTGATCTGTGGGTTACACTCATGTCAGCTGCCTCCCTATTCTCCTCCATGAACACCATGTGCTACAGATCATCTCTGCAGACCCCTGGCTTTCAGGTCCTTGATAGCTGCGTCATCTCATCAATGCATCTCATTGGCCCAGCGAACGAAGGGTCCTCAGCTCTCCTGAAACACAGCCAGCTGATGGAATTGGGGTCTCGGATAGCAGACTCGCCCCAGACCCCTCCACTTGTGAGCTCTTCGAACACCTGTCCATGTCCTGCCAGGCTAGCTCTGGTGTCCTCCCCTCACTTAAAGCAGCCATCACCATTTCCCAAGCTTCGGGGCCCCACCCCTGGATACATCAGGCAGGCTCCAGAGAACCCAGGAGGATGTGAAATCCTGGGCCATGGGAGAGGCTGCTCTCATCAACTACT